TTTTTTTTCTACATGTCCTACGAGCGGAGATATTGCAATGCAAAGTCCGAAATGTAGGAATTTCAGATTAAGAAACGTCAACGTCATTATCGTCGACCAGTTGCGGGGTGGGGGAAGTGTACTTTTACAATTTCTGACGCAAGAGGCGCTAGAGCACTAGAATTTTTAACCTTTCAGCCTCACACGCTTCGATCGATGTATACATATACATATACATATATCGATTGATGTGATGGATTCGCGTGTGGCACTCGGAACTGTACGGACGTGTTGTGGTTAGCTCCCGTATAATCGAAAGTGTTTCCGCGAGTGTTAGCATTCGAGTCGGGCTCTCCTTGAGCACTCGAAATCAGGGCGCAAGCCCCGTTTCTTCTGGCACGCGAATTACCTGAAAACCCTTCGCGTCTACGGGAAAAAGCGCAATGTCCGAGGCTTCGGCCTCGTGCACGGGCGAGGGGGGAGGGGACTACGGTCCGGACTATTCCGCGGCCCCCTCGCAACAGACTATTTCGGTTTCGCTAGACAGTTTTGCGCGCTTCGAGGGGCGAATGGGCTCATCGCAGGACCAGGACTCGTCCTTGGCACTCGTTTTCTCCCCCAATTCCCAGTTTTCCTCAACCCCCCTATCCCCCTCTCCTCACGTGGATGCAGGCGGAAGTTCGTACTCGACGGTTGGTGGAACGCAACAAAACACAGAGCAGAATTCATCGCTATGTAGCAACTCACATCTTGTGAACACGACCCCGGCTGCCGCCCGTCAGGAGGGCATGGATGTGGAGACCCTTTCCTCGACACCGCTGCCTAAAGATACTTATGCCGCTGTCAAAAAAGGTAATAAGCGTTCTCATTTTGAATCAGAAGGATACATGGCGGCTTTGCCGTCAGACGCGGATTTTGAAACTTCAGCATATACCTCTGCATCACAACGCTCAGCGAGTGGTCAGAATCCGCCTCGTCACGAGACTGCGAAATCTCGGAGAACCGAAGAGAAGCCGAACGCTTATTCCAATCAAGATAATCCGCCCTACGCAGTTCATATACATGCACTAGTCGACAACGGTGCTAGCCCGCCTCATCCGATGAAGATGTTCGCGCAGGTGGGAAGAGTCATGCCGGCGGCAGACATTCTGGAAATGAAAAAACTCGGCAACGGTAAGATCCTGGTATACTGTAAAACCGCCTCTGCTGCCAACAAGCTAGTCACCAACCCTATGCTTACCTCTATCAACTGCAAAGCAACCATACCGAATTATAGAATCTCACGCTCAGGCGTGATTAAAGATGTTCCCCAAGATTTCTCTATAGAGGAAATTAAAAGTTCTCTTAGTACAAGCAATAAGGTCATTGATGTGCATCGACTTAACAGAAAGGTTATGGTCGATGGCAAACCTACCTATGTACCCTCTCGTACAATTTGCATAAAATTTTCAGGTCAAGTACTGCCATCTCATGTGAACTTATTCTGGTCGCGGCACGAGGTGCGCCCCTATGTTCCGAAGGCCCGGATATGTTACTCATGCTTCAGAGCGGGTCACGTCAGCGCATCCTGCCGTAGCACGCCCAGATGCCTCTATTGCGGTAAGCCTCCGCACTCCGAAGGATCAGTATGCCCACTTAAAAACAGCATGCCAAGGTGCATAAATTGTACAGGTGAGCATCTCCCCACGTCTCCTACCTG